GAGTGGACAGTGGACAACAAGTGGAACAATAATTTTGTCAGTGACGACAACGAACAGTGGACGGCGACAACAACAATATAGACAGTGAGTAACAGTGAACAGTAGTCAATAACATGGCAGTGGATAATAAGCTTTATCAAAACGCTGTCGATGATTAGCTTCTGAAAGCGAATATTATATTGCGCCACCCCACTACCGTGAGAGGCCTTGCCCATCACTGGGATCAGTGGCATTATTATAATTATTCTTATCAACAAACTGATATCAGTCTTGTAAACGTCAGACAAACAAAGCTGCAACAGTAGTTTATGCAATTAGTTTACAATGTTAAGCTTTATTGCATGAGTACATGTTTTGAAAACGAGCGACTTGAGGAGCGAGTTTTCAAATTTGTACGCAATTTGTAAAGCAACATTATCAACGAGTTGCATACTATATGCTTTTGTATAACAGTATTATACATTTATAACAGAATCAAACTTAATTTTGCGAAACAACTTGCCTGTGACGACTCGGGTATTTGACATCGTGCGAGTTAAACGGTGGTCGGCTGTTCCGTTTAGCTCTACCTCCCCTGATTCTCTTGCTGCGATTGGCTGAATGTGTGATGACGCGATCATTCGTGACATAAAATCTAATACGTCATTTGTGCCGTAAATTCCCCGATTATGAACAATTTTTGCAACAGAAAAGTTACTTTTCTAATGCTGGAATAAAAAAAAATTCGTCGTGGCACTAAAATAAAACGTGTGATTCCTGTCCTTCTGGGAAATGAAGTGCTCTGGGGCCAGGCCCGCGTGTTGTGGATCCCTTACCAACTGCGAGGCTACCTTACGCGCCGGAGAGTGCTGCAGAACAGCCACGAAGGCCAGGAGAACGCGCGTCGAGTGAACCCGCTCTTTTGATCTCCCCCATCACCCTCCCCTGCGGCGGGGCGGGGCGGGGGAGGGAACGTGAAGTGAGAGTTGCGCGGTAGAGTCCGTGCGGCGGAGACGTGGGAGCGGCAGCCTTGCCACTGGGCAACGTGGTCGATTGTCGCTCAAGAGAATTTCATCCTGTCTGCCTGGAGGCCGGTGCTAGTTTGCGGAGAGAACCCGGAATTCCGCTGTTGAGCTGCCGTCCGGAACGGAACGCAAATCGTTCCGGAAAACGTGCATCTCTCGTACAATCGGCATATTGCACGATTGTAAATTTGAAAATATATTTCCATGAACTATTTCTTTTTGGGAAGCAGGGGGTGGAAATTTTCCAGAATAAATAAAAACGCTTTTGATAAATAAATAGCCAGCTCTGCCAGAACTGTGTTTTCGGCCCGGAAGCTGCAAGCTCTGAGGATGATCGCAATGCGATCGAAATGATCATAAGCTGAATAAAAAGTATTGATACCAGACAATATCTTTATTTATTTATCATAATAAAAAGGTATCTACCTCACCAGCGTAACAAAAACGCTTTTGTTTTAGTTGGAACATAATTTACAACTTTCTGAAGTTCAATTAACGAATTACTGTACATTATCTGATAGAAAGAACAGTTCCAACGGATGTTACCCGAGTAGTGTTTTTCTAACGGCGTTATTATATAAAAAGTAGTAATTGTGCCTTTAAGCTATGTTTGTTTCTCTCATATGGTGATGGAACCACGTGATCAAATATAGATACTGCTTGTAATAAGAGTCCTTTAAATCCTGTTATATCATTAACTAGTCACGCATCATAATAAGCAAAGTCACACAGGTATTTTACGAGACCAAAGGTGCTGTAACTTGCAAGTTGATTAACCACACCATCAGGGTTCAGAGTAACTTGACCTTCAAAGCATTTCATTCGTAGCTGCCACCTGCCACTTAGGCTCGACCACTTATCACTCGTATAACTGCGATTTAATTACAGCTGTCTCTAACAGGTCATCAGCTGTTACGGTGTCATCCAATCAGGAGCTTACACTACGGTGACATACAACCTTCTGATTGGATGATACCGTAACAACTGATTAACGTCAGAGGCTGCTCTAAATAAATCCAAGTATATCAAACATTCAGAAACTAATATTCGCGCTCGCTTTCTTGATATTCCAGCTCTGTAGTTCTTCCACAGCGGTGAATGGTGCAGCCTGAGATACTTGGCATGTTCAAATTTCATAAGCTTCCATTTTACAGGAACTCCCACCAATTATTGGCCACCCCCGCAACTACTAAACGGTTCACTATATCGATATGCGGTTTTAGCTCAACAATGGAGAATCAAGGGGCAAGTAATAAACAAATAGTATTTCGTGTGACAGCCCTTGCAACTGTCGCCTTTGAGGGAGGTGGCCTTCGCAGCGCCCGCACTGTTGCTGAGAGAGGGCGTGAAGGCTGAGACAGTTGCAAGGGCTCCTACAGAAGATATTGAAATATAGTTGGTAGGACACTCTGTACACCCTGTTCCTAAAAAATTAACATTCCCGGAGTTGGTGTAATTAGTGGTTTGATTATTTTTGCTTCAACGATTACGATTTAAGATCATATGATTTATCAATTAATCATCAATAGATCGGCTCAAGGTGGCTGTAAGATCAGTACCCCAAACGTAAAGTCAGGATGAAGTCGAGGTCGTTACCCTGTTGCTCCGGCATTGCCTTCATCCTTAGTGTCGGACGGTGCAGTATTCCCCAAGGCTCTCCCCGTTCATGACATATACAGAAATTCTGCTATATTCTGCACGTACGCGGATATGTGACATACATTTAATACAATTACAGTATATGAATAGTGATAAGAGTTTTCTACTTGCTTGCGGCTTCAATTAAATTTTTGGAACCTAAAGTTTTCAAAACTGAGATCAGTTATTAGAAGAATAAATATCTAAATTACACGCAGATTATGGAACATTGAAATTTTAAAAATTGTATAAAACGCTGTATGTTCTTCGTCTCTTACTACTAAACGATGGGTTACCAAACTCGGCCAAACTACCTCGTATGGTATTTCTGCTGTTACACTAAGACATAAATAACTATCATGACGTAGTTTACAATTCCGTTGGATACTTTAATTTGAGATAATGTTTTCGTGATATCCTTGCTGTGCATTTTCCGCGCCCCTGTGGCTTGGACTGCTAAGTGGGGAGCGCCAGTGTATTATTTATCAATTGCAGCGCGTGCGTCGCGCGACTGGGCGGAGGTCCGCGGGCGGTGCGTGGGCGGCGCGGCGGCCTCGGCGCCTGCGCCGAATGGGATTAAGAAGT